AGAGAGAGAGAGAGAGCTCGTGCAGGCGGATCCCGACGTCTTCTGTTCGGAGGTCTTCCAGTGCCTGGAGTCGGAGCTCATGCCCTCGCAGGAGATGCTCAAGGCCGAGCCGCCATCGCCGCCATAGCCGGCCATAGCCGGCCATAGCCCTGAAGCCCCGGCTACGGTACCGCCCACCCTTACCGCCCCCCTTCGCAAGGCCGAGGAGGCGGCCGTGAAGGCCAAAGCGAAAGGCCAGGGCCAGGGCCAAAGCGGCCAAGGCGGCCAAGGCGGCAGTGGCGGCCCGGGCGGCCAAAGCCAAAGCCAAGGAGGCCCAGGCCCAGGCCAAAGCAAGGCGCAGATGGCGCGCACAGGGGGGGGGGGGGGGGGGGGNNGGGGGGGGGGGGGGGGAGGCGGTTGCGGTGTGCTTTCTGCTTGTTCCGCTTTTTCACTCGAGAGGCCCAAGCCGGCTCCGTTCCGGCCGCCAACGGACACCGCACGGCGGGAATGGAGGTTCCGGCGGAGAACCGCACGCTCTGGCAGTGCATCCAGGACATGTTCACCTTCGAGGCCGTAGCAGAGCGGAGAGCGGAACAGAGCGGAGAGTTTTTCTGAGAGGAAGCCTGTTGCCCTCTGCCCTCTGCCCTCTCTTTGTCGAGGTGGAGTGGGCGGCCTCGGCAGTGGAAGGGGACTTCTCGGACAGCTGCTTGCACACGGGGCCCTGCTTCACCCTCGCGCCTTGGCGCGGAGAGGGGCAAAAAGCAACCCGGGATTCCATGCTGCCTGCTTGGCTACTGCAGGTGGTGCGAGGCTTCGCCAACTTGGAGGAAACCTTGGACCAGTACTTCTCCCCCAAAGTCATCGAGGATGGCTCCGGCCTTCGCGTGCGCACGACACGGAAGTTCAAACGGATGCCTGGAGCTCAGCCAAAATCCGCACGTGCGCGGCCTGCTGGGCTCAGATTTGCACTCACAGTCGGACGAACTCACTTAGCCACCCACCTATCCGCGCCCGCACCTGCACTCGGACCCGCACCAGCACCAACATCCACACCGACACACCGGCACCGAGACACCCGCACCGAGACACCACCACCACCACCACCACCA